ATTATAGTTAAGTGGCCGGGTTTATTGAAGGAGGTAAAGTTGTTCTAATGCCGATGGCTTGTTTTGTTGATCTAAGGGTGTAATATACAAACTTTTTCAGAAAAACTGTCAAGTGAGAATATAAAACGTAAAATGAAATAATTTTTTTCATAAGTTAAGCTAATATATTGAAATTATCTCGCTTTTTTTTTTAACTTATATATAAAATAATATTAGCTTATACAAAAATGTATTTCATTGTTCCTTTTTTTTCCCTAAGATTCCTTCAAGAGAAGTATGTTAAAAAAATGTCCAAATTTGTTCTTGAACTCAACCTATCTTAAAGACAATATCATAAATCCAATTATGTTCTCATTTCTTAAAATTATTTCACCCCAAGCATCTACATTGCATCCAAACCATGATATTTACTGTAACTATATAGTAAATTTAAGATAAATTCATATAAAAATATTAATTTCATACATATTTTAAAATTATGTTAAATTATGATTTTTTTTATTACTTTTTATTGAGTTCATAATTAGGGATTTAACTTAGTAATAAAAATAAATACTACTGATTTGTTGGATAAACATATACTCGTTGAGCAAAGTCAAAGATAGAAAATTACTAACTTGACAAAGTCAGGGAGCTTATTGACTTGACAATCACTGGGTGAGAATACATTCATTGAATGAGGTTAAAGTCAAAGAGCTACTAACTTGGTAGTTGTTGAGCGAGACTAAAATCAGATAGCTCACTAATTTGACAATGTTGGGTAAGCTCAAAGTGAGAGAGCTACTAACTTTGTAGTCGTTGGGTGAGTCAAAAGTCAAAGAGCTTACTTACTTGATAGTCACTAGGTGACTTTCGTGAGAAATTAAGTTTATAAGTTCTAGTGATATTCTCTTTGGACGAGCTATTTGGTCGCTAGAAAAGTGTGCTTTTAGGCACTATTAGTTGAATGAGTAAATATTCTTGTTGAGTGAAAGTATTAGAGTTTAACTTAAATTTTTATATATCTCTTATGATATGTTTAATGTGTTTGATTTTGTGGATATTAAAATGATTATTGGTTTATAATGTAACCTGAGAATGGTTGGTATTAATTCAAGGAAAATTCTTTATGGATAAAACAATATGAGTATTTATATACGGATTTCGTATTGGAAGTTGTCATAATGCTCTAATAATCATCCAATCTCAAGTAAAGAAGAGTGATGTATGTGATGTATGTGGATAGAGTAGCAAGATATCCTAGTCTAAAGGCTTTACCTTGGCCAAAAATGTTACTAGACTAATCTTGTGTGTGATAGGATGAAATTCATTGACAATGACTTTGCATAATAGTAGAAACCATCATAAATGCATAATTCGTCAGATTTTTATACCAATACACATATCTGGATTGTCGACTCTAATATATATGTGATATGATTGTGATTATGAATAATTATATTTGATAGTATCTCTATACTTGTTTTCTGATTTTTCTTTTTGCATATTAGTTTACCATTTTTTTTATGTTTATTTTGTTTTTGTATTTTCTTTGTTTAAACATAATGGTGTGGATGAAAATATCAATGTAGGAGTGATGCAGTAACAAATTTTTAGGATAAATCTTGTTCTGTATAATTTTCTTCTTTTTTTTACAAACTCTAGTTTATGTTAGTGTAGTTATATGATTATCTATACTTAGTACTTGCTTTTATAAATGATGGTAATATAACAGTTATATGTTAGTCTTATTTATTTATTGTCATGTCTATAATATTTTATTTAATAATTTCATATAACAGTTAATGTAAATTAATCGATTCTATAAAATTTCAAACTACTTTTAAATCATTGTTTTGTATCAACTGAAAACTAAGTTATTGATATTTATATTTATACTCATCCGTTTTCAGCTGATTTAATTGATTTGAATAACATATAACGTATTTTGAAGTTCATCATTTATATTTTCGACAATAACTTAATTGATTAGAATAAAATAAATCAAGTTTTTTTTAAAGTGATTGGAAAACTTATAAAAACTTTCTACACTTAAATATTTTCTTTTCTAATATACATATATATCTTTATACATAAACCTTTTCAACAGATTAAATATATTTATTTTTATCACTAAATAGTTGATTTATTTTAAGTTTAAATGGAATATTAACAAGAGTGTAAAAGTTTGTTCTTCCAGCATAAAAAAAAGATTATATACTTTTACTGACAAAATAAAGATAAAAGATACAAAACAATATAAATTCAACTATTGTTAACCATCTTCTGAACTGAAATCTGATATTAGAACAGGCATCTCAAAACAGTAGATTATAAGATGTTTTAAAAAATAAAATTAAAAATATAGCTTTAAAATTAAGCAAGGCAATAATATCTTTATTTATAAGCAACTATTGTAAACAGTTTGTATTGGAGAGCTAATTGTTTTAATATCCTTGAAAAACACTCTTTAACTAAAGAAGCTAATATGCTACTCTAAAATTATTTAAACAATGTTTTAGTTACTTTTTAGAGGAACTGATCTAACAAAAATTATTCTTAATTTAAATAAAAATATATATAAAATTTTTTGTTTATCATATTTTTTTAAAAATTATTTTTATTAAAGCAAATTGAAGGTAAGTTTACCCATTTCGGGTAACTTTGTCCCTTAAATGATCTCATGTGCCTGTTGAAAGTTACTTGAAATGCTTTCTAATTGTTTCTCTAAACCGTTCTAAATAATTCAATTTTAAGAATAAAACACATTATTTTTTATTGGAATAATAAATGTTATTGTGTACAATACAAATTTAAATTAAAAAATATAAGTTGCTTAATAACTAGGGAACACAAATTACATTGTTCAATATACATAACATTTCCTGTCAGATACCTACATTAGATATGACTTATATGATTTATTTTTATATTTCCAACCGAAAATAAAATAAAATATTTTTTTTTCAAAAACTTGTAAAAATGTTGTTATTCGTTTTGTTTATAAATTTGAACTCAATTTCAAAATAATTTTAAAAACAAATAAAAAAAAACAAGCAGTGCCATGATATTTGAAGTTATACTTTACCCAAACCCTAAACTTCCATTCTTAGATACATTCCAACTCACCCCTCTCCTCACTTTTTATTTTTATGAAAAGGGTAATTTATAGAAAAAAAAATTACAAAACCAAGACAGATTCATAAAATACAAAATAAATGTTTAATTATTTGTTGAAGCAGAAGTAGATAAAAAAATAAAGTAAAATAATATTTTAAAACATATATAACTTGTTTGATTTAATAAAAAATAAATTGTAGAAGGTGATACCTATTATGCTTTTCTCAATGGCACATGGATATTTGAAATGTCATCCACTCCTTAAATTTATTGTTTATTCAAATTATCAGTTAGGTTATATTAGCTGAAGTAATATTTATGTAAAAAGAAACCGCAATACTTTTGTAAATTCATGAGAGTGATTTACCTTGAATTTTTAATTTTCCGTTGTAAACAAATAAAGTATTCGACGTAAATAATTTGTTTTATTTCAGACAATAAGAAATTCGATATAAAATAATTTTTATATGTTCAATTTAAGGTTTTCTTCTTATTTTTTTTTGTCGAGTTTGTAAGTGTAATAATAAGTTATGGTAGTAACAAAAGTTTGTGTTTCTTTTTACTTTCATAACATTTGAAATAAAAAATTGAATCTTGATTCTCACCTTATCTCATTTTTACCATTAATAAAAAAAATCGCATATTAAATTAATGACTTTTTCTTTTTATAAAATTAAAAAAAGTTAATAAATAAAAAAGTCAAACATAAATCATTGAGAAAAAAAAATGAGTTGAACAAATTTAAAAATATAAAATACCTTTTAATTTGTATAATTTATTTTCTTTTTGAATGACCTAAATTTTATTCTAAATTTGACCTCTTTATTTATTAATTCTCTTTAACTTTATCAAAAAATTTCATTAAATATATATAATACATTAAATTGAAACAAATTTATAAATACTCATTTTAAATTTCAATTTATAAACACTCAATTTATTGTAATATTTTTATTGGTGGCAAACTTCTCTTTTAGAGTGTCCGACATAAATTTAAATTTAAGTCATATATTTTTCATTCGACCTAAATTTATCTATCTTGCAATAATATCAAACTTAAGGAAAATATAAAAGAAAAGCCCAAAAAATAATTAACTAAAAATGTATTTGTTGTTATAGTGAGCACAACTTGTTGTGAAAAAATAATTCATTGATTATACAATTGAAATAATGAGGAAAAAAAGTTGAAGAGAAACCAAGAACATCAATATTAGTGGGGAGTTTTGCCTTTTATTATATAATTTTTTGAAATAAATATATACAATTTTTTGAAATAAATATATTCAATTTTTTTCTAATTTTATTCTACAAATCATTATAAATAAATATTTTTTGAAATTAAAATAATTATTTTTATCTTTTAAATGATTCTTATTTTAATTTAATTATTTTTAAAAATAAAATAATTATCTTATCATTTTACCCATTTAAATAATTTAAATTTAACTAACTTCTTCTTGAAAGTTTTTTTTAAAGACGTGTCTAGAAAAAGTACTTAAGAACTAACTCTAATTACTTTTGTAGTTCAACATGAATTAAAAAAGTTACTTAAGAAAAAGTTTATATTTATAAAATAAAAAATTATCTTATAATTAATTAATTTATCTAAATAAAAAAATAAGATATTTTAATTATTTTTTCATTCAAAATATTTATTAAAAATAGAGAAAATATAATTATAAACAATTCAAATATTATGTGTTTTAAGTTTTTGAAACTATAAAAATTCTTTGAGGAATTATAATATTAAGTCATATCTTAAGAATTTTGTCTGATGAACATATTATTATCATTAATTAACAATGAACATTTTTACATACAATTTATTTCTTTTACTATCTTTTTTAATAAAAGTGCATATTTTAAATTCAGTAGCCACAACATAACACCAAGAAAAGACTATGGGTGCACAGCACACAACACAATACTAGTAAAGGTGGGGCTTTTCATTTTCAAACCTTATACACTACCTCGGAATTCGGAAAAAGAAAGAACCTCTCTCTCTCTCTCTCTCTCACACACACACACACACTTCTCTGTAATATAATGTCTCATCTGCCTGCACTCTCTTCTTATCACTCTCTTCTTATCTCTGCTGTTTGTCTTCAGATAATAAAAACTCACTTTCCCAATCCCATGGCATTTTTCATACCCATTTCCTCAACACGTGCTTTCTGGTCCAAAGGTTACTCTTTTCCCTCTCCTGCTGCTGTTTCATGCTCTGTTCTCATAGGGTTTTAGTTTTTATGTTTAAAGTACTTATCTTTTTTGTTTTTTCCTTTGAGTTTTAATACAAAGCTCCTTCTTTGGTTCTGAACTTGTTATGTCTCTGACTAAGCACTATCACTGTGAGTTTATTACCATCATTTCTGATGTGAGTCTTCATTTCATTTTCAATGTGCTATTATACTAGTGGTTCTCCTCTTGGTCATCTTTATGTTGTTATTTTTTGTGCTAGAGCATACAGTCTTTTGGCCAAGGATTTGATCTAGTTTATTCTTAAGAGTATTTCTTTGATTAGTATAGTGATTTAACTTAAGAGACGTGCTACTTAATGGAAAAATATGAATGTTAGGAAAAATATTGATGAATATGATTTATCTTTGTTACTTAGTGGATGGTAGGTAGAGAAGAAAAAGATTGATGAGTAGTATTTATCTTTGCTACTTAATGGAAGGAAGGTAGAGAAGATAAAAATTGATCAGTATTATATATCCTTGATACTTAATAGATAGAAGGTAGTGGAAGAAAATGGTATATGACTCTGTGGTTGAACAAGATTGTGTACGGCGTCCATGGTCAGTGGGTTTATATTTAGTGATTGTTTCTTTATGTTTCCTTCTGGAGAGTTCATGCGCATCTGGATATTGATAGAAGATTTGTCCAAAAGACAGCGTATTAGAGCAGAGGTAAAAATGCTACTTTGTGTTGCAAACATATACTTGGTGGATGGATAATGCAAGGATTTCCAGGAGTGGGGCCTACTAAAACAAATTCTTTCTTCATGAATCCAATTTTTTCCCATTTTGTTTTCTCCAATTGTTCCATTGTATACTGATTCTGTCTCTTTTAAAATAAACATCATCACAAGCTTATTAGGCAATATTCTCATAGTAAATACACAATTTGACCAAGCTATTGCTTATATCTACCGTTGTATGTTAATACTTGGAGTTGGACAAAAGAGCAAAATACCTGAATGTGCAGAAAATCTTACCCATTATCAATTGAATAGTGTATGACAAACAGAGTAACGTGTCTTGAGTTCACTAGGAGATTGGTGTAGCTAGCGTACTAGCAGATGGAATTTCACCTGAAAGGAATTCAAGAAAGTATATTTTTTTCACTAGAAATTGAAATTAGTATTCAAGAACAAAATTCGTTTATCATTCTGGTCCTTTAGGTGGAAGTTATTTGAAAAAGGGAATTAATGTGAAGAGACTTTTTTTTTTATTGTAGCAAACACACACCAAGGATAGAGGATACAATGTAAAAAGTTCACAAACTGGTAATAGTGTAATGCACATATAATTGAACATGAAACCTTGTGTTGTGTGAAACAAAGCTAGATACTGATAGTGTGAACATAGAAGATGGGTCTGATTGAGGTGGGGAGGGATTGAAATAGAGATTGGCTATGTGAAATAGGATTGAAAAACCTAAAGTACAGTTCAGACATATGGAGGGCTACACTGGGATGAAAGATCTCCCCATAAATTCTAGCAGAGATTAAAAATTCCATTTTTTGTTGCTGCTGACTGGGATTTTATTTTATAGGGCCAATTCTGTATGGCTAGAATCATTTTACTTAAATTAAATTTAATCTCTCATCATGTGTGTGTGTGTGTGCTCATTTGTAAATGTTTTGTTTTATTCGTAATGTACTGATTTTTCCTCTTGCTTTTGATGATATTTTATCATCCTTTTTTTCGTTATATTAGTTTATTTTTTATGTTTTGTAGGCAACAATCTGGCATTAGTTTTCTTTTCCCGGACATTACTGTTTTGATGTCCTCAACTTTTTGTTTTACTTCTAAAAATTTGGCCCTACTACTTCTCATGAACTTTACAGGTTTGGAGAAATTTGTGGTGGATGGCACAAGGAATCGATCATCTTGCTTAACACATGAAAGATTTTTTGTCGCTTGAAGGTATTGGAGTTATGGATTGATATGCCTGAAGTTTGGAATAGGGAATGAAGCCATTGGTCCTAGTAGTTTAATTTATATGTAATATATTATTGAATTATTTGTACATTGTTTGATGTAGTCTGGATCAATCATTTGTTGTACATCAATTTGCTATATATAGTGGCCGCTTGAACTTTCCTACTTTAAATGCTTATAGTTTTTTTCTTTTAATTTCATTGTTTCCTTTGTTAGGTTTGCTAAGTAGAAGCACCAACTTCTGACCTCATTTTTGCCTTCACCCTTGCAGCTATATGTTTCCATACTAAGCAATTTTCCAGCATTCTCTGATATTTGTTTCTTCATCACATCATGCAAATGATCCATGAGTTGTTTCCATATTCTCTAATATCCCCAAAGAATTCTTTTTGTGCATGAACATCCCACAAAGCAGATAAAAGCTTTCTCGTACAACTTTCACACAATTTGAGTTTGTTGGAGTGTAGACTCGCTTGCTTAACTGGTTATCATGCCTCATGTGAAGTTATTTAACTTCTTGCTAGAAGAAATTCTTATCATTCTTTCTACTGAAATTTCGAAAATAGTTGTAGATTTAGAAACACACTCCTTCAACAAACGTTTTTGAACAGTTATATCAATATTGAATGGAATTTATTGAAAATAACAAAATTATGAGGTATTATTACCCTATATTTAATGAATCTTTCTTGATGTTACAGTTGTTGTAAAGCATCAATTATCACGCTTAAACTTGTAAAAACAGAATATAACTGTTTTGCAAATCAAATTGTATGATTGGAATACCTTTAAAATGAATAATTCACTTCGATTTAGTAATTTTACAGTGTTCAGAATAGGAAAAAACAAATACAGTTATCATTTCAAGCAAGCAAAAGTAAATTAAATGGAACTCAAGAGAATTACTTATTCCACACTCAAGAGAATCTAGAAAGCTTGCATTCACGAGGTCGACCTTGAGGAAATCGCTTGTAATCTTTGCAGTAGTTATAAATCATGTAATACTTTTGCACCCATCTCAGACTTCTTCTACCATAAGCATCCAAATCATGAACTTGCCAAGTATTATTATGAGTAGTGGCAACTGAGTTTGAAGGACAGGAAGAGGATCCTTTGGACCACACACATGCTTTAGCTTCAAAGTTCCTATAGTAAGCTTTGAAAGGAGCATAGGACCAATTGGTTTTCACAAGCCCTCCTCTTGTTGCCCACTGGTCTGCACACCATAGACTGGAGTACAGCCTCATGGGCTGGTTGCTAGCAAATGGAACTCCCCTGGATTCATAGTTGTTGAAGACTCTAATAGGGATGTTATCTACCAAAAAACTGGCCAAAATGTTGAAACATCTATCAGTTGAGTAGCTATGATTTACTGTGGAACAGAGATGCTTCCATGAAAATTTTCACTTTTGTTTTACTAAACATGTAATTTTGTAAACATAATAGATATAAATAGTAAAATATAGGATAAAGGGACAATGAAAGCTTTATGTTTCTTACATGATGCGTTGAGGGTTCCATACAATTGTGTAAGTGTGGAAATGCTTTGTGGGGTCAAACCAAAGATAGAATTGCTGTTCTCTATTGCCTATACCTTGGGTGTAGATATTGGTGTGGACTATGTAGGGCTCTCCAGTGATGTTTCCCAAGAACTCAAAATCTATCTCATCATGATTTGGCCCTTCTGAAGATAACTGCATCATCATGCATGACACAAATTCAGTAAGAAAAACAGCATAAAATCTATACAACGTGGTAAAACACTTCTGCCTAAGCCATGTAACAATAGATATATATAATCTTTTTGTGGCCAAGATTGATATGATTATTTAATGTTAGCTGGTTTAATGCAGACAAGGATTTCCCGTATGATATGCATGAACAGAATCTGAGGACAGAAACTGAGGATTTCTCACATAATATGCAGTGACTGTGCCAGCTGAGTTACCAGAGACAAGCTTAATCTGCATGTCTATTCTTCCATACAGATATTCTGCCCTGGATCGGAAGCCAGAGCCAGACAACTGGTCTAGAGAAAGCATGAGAAAGTTGCTACCTAGTATCTTCAGACCACCTTGTTCACCCCAAGTGATGGCAATGTCTTCATAGAAATTACCCTCAGCAATGACTCCAAAGAGACACATCAAGTGATAGGCCAGCAATGGAGCTGAAACTCTCAGAAATGTCTCACGTATTGCCATATTTTGTTGAAAATCTTATTTGAAGTGTGAGAAGATAGTCTCTTAATATGGAGCTTTTATAAGTGATAGAGAGCAAAAAGATCTTTTGGTGCACTAGGACGTTTCATTAACTGGTGAAGGCGAAATGGAAGGAAATAAGCTGGCAATTGGATGAATTTAGCTAATTATTAAGTGGGTTCCTGGGAAAGTCATGAATTAGGGATGTTATAATTAAAAGTTATCTTTGTTAAAATCATTACTTATTTTATTAGATTGTCACCTATAGAATAAGAACATTATTTTAAAAAGTAAAGAAGCAATCTTAATCCTAATAAAATCAAATGTCAATATTATGAACAACTAATTACATATTTTACCCTCACTACTTTGAGCTTTTCTTTTCTATTATTTCTATTATACGTGTATAGTAACTATATGTATCTTGGATTTTACATGAGGGATTAGAGAATGTTCAAAGTTTTAGTCCGTTTTGAGGAGTTGTTATTTCATACCAAAAATCAACTGAATGAAGAGTGCAATTGCACCAAACACACATGCTTAACTGGCTATGTCATGGCATTGATTTCTTTAAAGAGCAAATACGTATATTGAGGTATAAAGGAGGTAATGACTATAGGTGGGTGGATTGAGAACTTAGCAAAGTAACTCAAAATAAGGTTACACGTGCACATTTGCATGTGATTTTTTCCTTGTAACTGATTCAAGTCAAGCAATCTATTAGATTCCAAATCACCATCTTCATATCATGCAGAGGAGTATTAGTGTAAGAGCTTAATTCTTATTATAATTTAATCAACATTTTATTTGATAAAAAATATTTAAATTTGTCAAATTTGAATTCCTTTTAAGCTATATAATCAAAATATTAAGAAAAAAACCATTTAAAATTAGAGCGAAATAGATAATCTCTACTTTCCCCTCCATATTTCTTTTATCTCCAAAATTTATATTAATTAAGTTTCATGTTCATGAGAAATTTGAATATTTTCAATTAAATCCTCACTAAATTTTCTTGATTTATTAATATTTGTATATTGTTCGATTGAGTCAATGCAATTTAATTTATCTGTTAATTGTGTAAGATGATTGTTATTTTATTTCATCATCGTGTTTACTTATCTCTACATATTAAGAAATATAAGGTTTTCTTGTGATTATAAAAATAATGTAAATGACAAATAACTTTTTTTACTCTTATTGAAAACATGTAAAATATTGAGATCATCATTTCAATGGTTTCTACATCATTACTTACGTCAAGGAACTATTCATATCATCACAATTGATAAGACTATTTTTATTATATAAGACATTGAAATGGTAACAATAAAAATCACTTATTCTTGATACAAGAAGACAAGTAAAATAAATAATAAAATTACAATCACGACAATTTATAAACAAAAAAATAAAAAAAAATAAAAACTTAATTGAAAAATATAAAAATTTTAAGTAGTAAATAGAAGAAAATAAATAAATAAATATTTTAAAAATCCATAATAAACTTAAAACTTAGTTAAATAAAATTTATATAAATAAAACATGTCTAATCCCTTCGGACTTGACTTGTATATAATAAAATGACTTGTATCAATATTGACTTCATCATACTAGCTCCTTAAATCTGAATTAATTGATTAATTTCTTTTACCTTTTATTCAATTAAACCTACTCTACTTTAAAATTAAGTAAACGTATTCGCATTCCTATTATTATCTTTTATTCAAGTTTTTGAAACCCCAAAACTCTCCCTTTATATTAAGAATCTTCACAAATAAACTGTGAAAAGAAAAAGACAACTTTCTCATAATATTCCCTCATGAAAAAAGTATATATATTAGATAAACATAATGACTTGCGCGTCTAATTATTTGTAAACTTCATATAACTCTTGATCTAAAAGTAAAAGATTCGCCCTTTGTTTTCTTTCCCTTCCAAAACTACACTACCAACCAAGCACCCTCTTGACTCCTTACCAAAAAGGAAAACAAAAGCGTATCTTAATCACAATTAGTTTTTGGATTAGTTTTGTCTCACCGCTGTTATGGAAGCTTCTAGTGCTTTTCTGATATTTTACTTTTCTCTCTCTTCTTCTATTGTATAAATACACACGTTACTCATTCAATAATAATTACAATACAGTGCAGTGCGTTGCATGCCTGCAATATGTGTCATTCTGTTATGATTTCTCTGATATTTGTCATGGTATCAGAACTGAAATGAGAAGAAGATCACCCTGTGAGTACCGAGATTTGAGATCGCGCCAAATTTCCTCTGCACAGTGCATCCTTTTATGGACAAGCCATGAGACCACCATGTTATTGCAACGCTTCCAAGCTCCAGAAAAACGATCAGAAACTAATGGCCGTGGAGTGCTTCCATCAATGAGCTCCACTTTATTCTTGGCACTAAGAGCGGTGAGCATAGATCTGCTCCAAGAATGGTAATTGGTTGAATCAAGTAAAGGAGAGACTAAGAACATAGCAGGATTTTCATTGGGATGAAGATATAAAAAATGGTGAACGTTAACAGAGGGATCGGTTGCATCACCCATGGCAGCAGAAGCAAAGAATGGTGATGGAGAAAAAGACCGTTAGGCTCTGGATACCATGAGCCACTTAATCGGTTCATTTAGGGATCCACTTAACAAGGCTGTCCCACACCACATCACATACACACAAAACAGACAGCAGTTAAGAAATAGTGCTTTTTCCCAGGGAAAATGCCTAGAAATTTCCAAGCCCGAAATTTAAACAAGACATGCAATGATTACAGATGTGATTATAGATATGCAGATCAATCTACGCATTATGGATTAAATAAATTGCATCTGATACATACTCTTCTATCTCTTCGTTCGACTGGTTTCTGTGGTACAGCACGCCCTCGCNAATAAACTTAAAACTTAGTTAAATAAAATTTATATAAATAAAACATGTCTAATCCCTTCGGACTTGACTTGTATATAATAAAATGACTTGTATCAATATTGACTTCATCATACTAGCTCCTTAAATCTGAATTAATTGATTAATTTCTTTTACCTTTTATTCAATTAAACCTACTCTACTTTAAAATTAAGTAAACGTATTCGCATTCCTATTATTATCTTTTATTCAAGTTTTTGAAACCCCAAAACTCTCCCTTTATATTAAGAAT